TATAATCCCAGTCTTTCATGTAATCTCTTAAAGACAATCTTCCATCTTCTTGACAATCTTCAAAAAGAAATTATAAGAAAATATAAAACTGTCAAGAAGGTATGAAGAAGTGAAATTATAAAGTGATTTTGTTTTCAACAGTATTTAAAAATTTTATATACACCTAGAGCAGCAAATAAAACTAGAGAGATTAAATAAATAAATAAAATTAAATAAAATAAAAAACTATCACCAGCTTCAAGTGAATTAAAGCAGACAAGCTTACCAAGTATATACAGAAAACTAGAGATAAAACAATTAAATAAAAAAACTGTAACCGGCTTCAAATGAATTAAACCAGACAAGCTTACCAAGTATATACAGAAAAGGAGAGATAAATCAATTAAATAAAAAAAACTATAACCAGCTTCAAGTGAATTAAACCAGACAAGTTTACCAAGTATATACAGAAAACTAGAGAGATAATACAATTAAATAAAAAAAACTATAACCAGCTTCAAGTGAATTAAACCAGACAAGCTTACCAAGTATATAAAGAAACTAACTTCAAAAGCTAAAAGCCATATAACCAATTATCAAACTTATCGATCAGTTCATCTCACCTGAATATCTGATCTAAAATAATGAATAATAAAATAGAATTCAAACTATGGAGACTAAAGACAACAGTCATGAAAAGAAAGGACTACCTGATATAGAACAGATTACAAAAATAGTTTGGCAAGAGACTTAAACATGTAGAAAATTGATCTCCTTATAGTCAATGTTACAAATCTTACAATAAGATACAAAGAAATCCATTATTGTATCTAAAAGTCTGTGTGTATAATTTTCATTATTGTAACATTAAACTTAATAATTTCAGTAACTTTTGGTGCTAGATCATTGATTTTTGTTTGCATAACCTTTAAAACTCCCAAATGAATCTCAAACTTTTTTCAGTAACACTTTATATTTTATCCATTATTTTCTCTACTCTAACTCTTAATGGACTCCTCAATTTGAACAACCTCATAATCCCCATACAAAATTACAAAATAAATATAAGTTACCCTTTTTTTCTTTCTAGAATGAGTGGAAATTGTAACATGAAACCACATTTCTTTATCCTAAATAGCTTTAAACTTGTAACAGTATACAGCTGTTTGTACTTAAATGTTATTGTTTTATTGCCCTTTAAAAGGTGTCTAACTAATTATTCTGCCATACAAGTTCTCCTAACAGTAGCACATCATACTGAATGACATAATGTACCAGCTGCACACATGCATAACTTGTAAAGATTTTGTTTTTCATTACCTAATCTAACTTAAGTTTTAAACTCTTACAATTTAGTTACTTTTGTAACTAGAATTGGTGAAAATTGTTGCATGCAAATACTCAACAGACACCCACTGTTCTCATACCATAGGCAGCTGTAAGTCTAATGAGGTTTCAAGTATATCCTTCTGTTACAGTGAAGCTGAAGGTAAATGTCAAAATGAGAATACAAAGCATAAGTGAAGCTTGTAATGAGGATGATGCAGACAATTTAATTTGCATGAGCATAAAGGTATTACTAAAAGTAGCATTATGTTACCAATAATAACTATAAACATTGTGAAGGTGCACTAAAAGCATGATTTTATGTTGTAGATGAAAATTCATATTACTGACTATCAATAATTCGTACTTGTCTTTTCTGTACAAATTACAAATAATTACCAATTTTGAAATAACATAGCAAATAGTAAGTTTGATAAGAAGCTCATATCTTAAATATTTATAAGCCTAGATTCTGTAATAGAAATTACTACACGATCTTATAGTAATTAGTTTGAAGAATAAAGGTTTGGTTTCAGGAAAGTCAAAATCTTTGATTTTGTCTCATATGATTGAGCTTTTGGGACTAGTGAACCATATGTCATATATGTAAACAATTTTGTCAAAATTAGCCCTTTTTATTACTATTACTTGATATGAAATTTATTTTATTACATGCAAAACTCATGAAACTGCCACAATGTGCGTTATCTCCTTCAATAAAAAAGGCAGAAAATCTGTCACTGATCCACTGTAACATAAGTTGCTGATCTTTCAAATTGCCTACGGGTGCCAATGCAGCACCCTATAAAATCTGATTCACCAAATACTATTCTACCCAAAACCAATGAAAAACATTTTATATACCATATTCCACAATTCAGCCCAATTTTATCACTTCACAACATGAGTATATTATCACTTACTTTAATAAAAGTTACAAATATTGGATATTAATAAAGTTTATGTTGTTGAAATCTGCTTTAATAATACAGCTTACAATAAATAAATAGCAAAATTAACAACAAATGGAAAAATCAACTTATCAAAATTTGCAAAATGACTGAGTATACATTAAAAAGCAAGTAAATTAACTGTAAAACAAGACAAACTTTCAAACTATTCAATAGTATTGTTTACTTGAAGTGTTTTAACTTAATTTCTTACACTATAACTCATCTATCACAGTTAAACATTAATGTGACATAACTGAAAAAAATAAATTTTTTTGCAACAGGAATTTTTTAAATGCTCAGAAACAACTAATTTCAAAGTTCAAAAAAATATTCTTAAGCTGTTTAACAACAAAAAAAGGTTACTATGGTGAGCTACTAAACCCACACCTTTAACATTTTAATTGTATTTCAAGGTTAGATAACATCCACCCAAGAATATTATATTTTCAAATCTCATATAAAAACATAGCTAAGTAAAATCTGCAGATTTTGTGTATTTAGTAAATAGCATATAATACCCTTGGCTTTCACCAAGATGAATTGAAATTTAACCAAATAGAAAGATATGGATAACTGCATTATAGCTGCCATAATTTAAACTAACAAATGTGACTGAAAATTTAAGTTTTATAAACAGTATGACTGAAACCGAAAGCTCAGCACTAGAGAAATCATTGGACTAAAGATTTAAAAATGAGTAAAAAATAATAATTAATATTATACAGAAAGTACTTAGCTATTCTGGGATTATTTTCAGAGTTCTAAAGAATCTGACCAAAAACTTAAAGATGATGACAAATACATAACCCATTAACTTAACACAATGCTTTTTTGCAATTCCAGATGCATGAACTAGTTAAAGATAGCTTCAAACAAAATTAATTTTATAAGAGATAATTATAAATGAAAGTAGCATTGTTAGTCCTTTAACTCACCAGCACCACTGTTCTCTGGAAGTAACTGTAAAGCTAGAATGCCATAACGAAGCATGTCTACTGTATTTATGTCTGGAGCTATTGTCATTTGATGTTTACAGTTATCAGATGCATCCCCCACAACCACATCTTTTGTATTGTCTTTTTCTGTCTAAGTACATAAAAAAAAAGACAAGTGATCAACAGAATGAAAGATTAAACTATATTAAAGGTAAACACATACTCTGTAATAAATACAACTTCTTGTTTTTGTACATTCATAGAAATATCTTTTTCTCCATTCTGCCAACATAACATGAATATTTATGCATACCCTGTGGGCAACAAATAAACATTAATTATAGTAAGTATGATCCTGAGTTATTTAATTGATTTTTTAGCCAAAATGCTTTAAGTATATTGAAATATAAGAATTCACTATGATGAAGGTCTAAAAACTCATTCCATCCAAAATAACTAGAATAAAATGAAACAGGTACAGTACAAATCATTAAAGCCTATCTTATAATACTAAATTTTTTCTTTTTTTTATTTCAACTAAATCCTAAAATGTAAAATAGAGCGTAGTCAAAATTAAATGCAAACAAATCAAGAGAAAAAAATATTATAGAAGTGTAGCTTGGCAAAGCAGTAACTTAATTTCAACAATGCATTACAATACTGAAAACAACTAAAATGTTTTTGATTTGTTATAAGTATTAAACAAAGAAATTTGGTGTCAACCAATTTCAATCTTTTACAATCATTCAAAGATTCAAAACATAACATTTTCAAGATAAACTTTTTCTCAATTTTTGAAAATTTTTAAATTATAATCATTATACCTCTTCCTTAGGATAGTTGCAATACAAGAAAAAATTATGTATTTTAATTATAATAGAAAAATCAAGGAAGGACATTGTAACATCTTTTTTTTTAATGGCAATTATACAGTCCAAAATATTTTGGTTTTTTTATTACTTTCTATGAATAAATTTT